TAAAACTTATGTTATTACAAATTACAGACCCATTTCAAATCTTTCATTTTATATCTAAAATACTAGAAAAAGTTGTGTCCGCTCAATTGTGCTCTTTCTTGCAAGAAAATGATAAAAGACCGCATCATACCACAGAAACTGCGCTAGTTAGACCGCATCATAACACAGAAACTGCGCTAGTTAAAAGCTTTCTTCTGCGCTAGCTTCTGACCAAGGCTGTATCTCAATACTAGTTCTTCTCAATCGTAGTGCTGCGTTCGACACTATAGATCATAAAATACTCTTTATTGGATCGACTACAAAACTACACTGGTGTTCAAGGATAGCCATTAAGCTGGTTTAGATAATACTTATCAGACCGTTACCATTTTGTCTGTTTAATAACGTCACTAGACTGTGGAGTGCCACAGGATCGGTGTTGGGCCCTCTGCTATTTTCAATATATATGCTGCCACTTGGTAATATTATAAGAAAACATGGAATTCATTTCCACTGTTATGCTGATGATGTTGAAAATGTTATTATTTAGAAAATAAGCAATTTATCTATATATTAGGACACTATTAGTTCCTCTGTGTACGTGTGTGCGTCTTTGGGTTTGACATTTGGAAGCCTGAAAGGCTCAAATGCTGATACAACAGAGAGTGCTATTCTCAGAAGTCACATGGTACAAGACCTTTACCTCAAAATATCTATAGGATGTATTACCATTTTGGAGGTGATGTATGTGTATATATGTGAAACTGGCCACCTGTTCTGGAGTGAGTGCCTGCAGGACGAAGTGATCTCCTGCTGGAGGGAGTGATCCCCTGCAGAGGACGCTCAGCTTTGTTTGTTATAATAAAGTCTAATATTTCTGGCATCAAAGATTCTTGAGAAGTGATTTCATAAAAAGACTGAAACCACGACAATGACACTCAATTATATATTTCACCATGACTAGATGAAAACACCAACTCATCTAAATTGACAGTGTCTTAAAGATATAAAATGCTGGATGGCGCGTAATTTCTGCTATTAAATTCAGATAAAACGGAGCTAGTACTTTTGGTCCAAAAAACTACCCACAAAACCTCTTGCAATACAACTTTAATTTAGAAGGATGTCCTGTTACTTTATCCACTACAGTAAAATACCTGGGTGTCATACTAGACCGCAACTTGTCTTTCGAAAATCATATTTAATATGTTACAAGAACAGCCTTTTTCCACCTTAGAAACATTGCTAAGCTACGTATCATGCTATCTGTTTCTGATGCAGAAAAGTTAGTTCATGCATTCATGACCTCGAGACTAGATTACTGTAATGCTTTATTAACTGGTTGTCCTGCATCCTCAATAAACAAGCTACAGTTCTTAGAGAGTTGTTATTTTTACTAATTATTTCCCATCTACTTTTCTGCTGTTATATTAGGACGCAAGACCCGAGGTAAATAGCGTTCATCAGCTCCAGTTTGTATCCAGCATCTCACGGAGACTTCCGATGCCCCAACACCTGCAATGAGATGACTAAACGCCTGTGAAGAGACGACTCAATGATATGTTATGCTCTAAATTAATACATGAATAACTAAATGTATTTTTTCCATGTACATTTCTGAAATGCACTTGCTGTAAAGCTGCTTTAAAACAATATGTATTGTGAACTTATACACGCTGATAGCTCAAAATGCGTAGAGATAACACGCCACTTGACTCGAAAGTGGCGTGTATGTTTACGTAAAAGTCATGATGTCATGTTGGAAATTGTTAAAACCATGTTATTACACTAAACTAGATAATTAAATTTTGTTAATTCTACATTAATTTTCCTGTATATAATTATATTTTTATGAAAAATACTGGTTACGCCAATTGACACAAACCAGTTACACCACCTGACCATTTTGCTTCTAGAGTCAAAGGCTATTGTTTGGTGAAGAAATTGTGACTGAAAATCAAGCATGACAGTCAACAAGTTCAGCAGAAGTGGTTTTATTTTTGTTAATGCTGAAAAACAACAACTGGCAAGAACTAATGAGGTTCATTCTTGTGTGTTACACAGCACGTTTGAGCTTCACCAGGAGCCACTGAGGTTCATTCTCATGTTACGCGACAAGTTTGAGCTTCAGCAAGAACCAATGAGGTTCATTCTTGTGTTACGCAGCACGTTTGAGCTTCAGCATGTTTAATCAGCATCATTAAATTCAACTAAAGCCAAGTTCACACTACAGGATTTTAAGCCCGATTTAAGCGGCCGTCGCGCAACTCAACCTCAGTGATGTCATGAGCTATAGCTAATCATAGCAAGGCATCAGATGAGGTCACCGGGTAAATCTTATTTTTTCTTGCATTTTTTCTCAGAGCAAATCATCGCGCAAACAGTGTGCAGTACTAGTTTCTGTCTGACGTCCATATTCGCGTGTTGTGTTCTCTTCTTCACTGTTTCCCATGCAGTGTAAATGGGGCTATAGATAAGAGAATAGAGTCTTGAATGTACAGGGGTTGCACCAACTTTAACTCTTTAATTCTCTGCCATGACCTTTAGGCTTGACATTAGTCGCTGGTCATGGACATTCACTTAATATCCACTTTAAAGCTCTGTGTCCAAACAGTTAAAATGACAAATAAATGCATACTCTGAGAGCACTCCATAAGATGATTATATTATAGATGCTCAAAATTTATTGAGAGAATTCACGTTTTAAACAGCTTATTGTTGTACACCTAAGTTTATTTGCCGTTCTAAACTAATGGGTGCTACATTGTAGATTGTTAGGCACGATCTTCTGTATGAGTGTACGTTACAATGCAGCATCCATTAGTTTAGAATCATTCAGTAGCGCAAAATATAAAGCTCTTCCAAACTTTATAATGGCAGTGAATAGAGGATGAAATTTATAGCCCAAAAAGTGCATCAATCATTAACATAGGCTACTCCACACAGCTCCGAGGGGTTAATAAAGGTCTTCTGAAGTGCAGCAATGCATTTGTGTAAGAAAAATATGCATATTAAAAACGGAAATAAAGCTTCCAGGAGACAGCCTACTTAATGCCAAAAGAGTAACCCCGGACGTGATGTAGGAGTAGCGTAAGCTTTGACGCTTCTCACGGTTCAAATAAATAGGGCTAGGCCACAAACTCAAACTTTTGCACAGGATTAAGTTTTAAAATGAAAATGCAATAGTGTAACATATTGATTTTTTTTAAACTGGCTTAATTTGATTTATAACTATATTATTACAATGTCTTACTATTCTAACTGAATTTGTTATTCCTACTATATTTTGATCTATGTCCAATAATTAAATTTGTATGTGATGCCAGTCAGTGAACATTATTCATCTGGTCATGTGATATCAACATGGCAGCCACCATGAGGGAGGGACCTTTATAAAGAATAAACGAGATTATGATATGACTGAAACCTTCTCATGTGAGTGGACATCATGCAATAATTGCCATTCATTCAAAAATAAAAGAAATGTGTTTTTACTTGTTTTGTTTGTCTGGGTGGAATGAAGGCAGAAATGCTAGATCTCACACACTTTATCGTCATCAGTGTGGAGTTACAGGCGATGTTGATAATTTATGATCATTCATCATTTAGTGAGTCGAGCTCCTAAAGCAAAGAGCTTTATTTTTGCTTATTGTTGTCTGTTGCATTTCTACACCAAAGTACCAACAAAGGTAAATAATAAATTATACAATAGTAAAAACAAATTATATGAACGGGCAATAAAGAAGCGCGCGACACGTTTGAAGCAGATTAATAAACAAACATGCGACAGACTCTTACCTGACAACCCTTTTTATGGTGAAATCCCACAACTACGATGTGCAGCACCGGTTCCTCTTTGCACTGCGACTCCATTAGCTCTATTATAATCAAACCAGAGTTCAAAAGAGAAGAAATAAAAAGTAAAACATTTGTTTAATGTGTGGAGCCTTTAACTTCCGCACTCTTGACCATCATGTCACGCGATGCTCCGCCTCCAGGACACAAACACACCAGACGAAAACCCGTCATAGACAGCCGAGAGAGGGCGAGCCATGGCTCGAATAGATGGATCATCAATCAATCCATCATAGCCATTCATTTTTAAGCACTAAATCCTGTGTCGGTGGCCAGTTCATGCAGTCTTTGATATTGATGACAAAATAAAAACCGTTTAACAAGAACACTTCCCAGCAAACACACGACGTCGCCAGTCTGTATGACAACGTTTTGTATTGATATATTTTGTGCATTTTGTGATTTACATGCATGCTTTCATTTATTTTGGAGTTGTCCTCATTCAATTCGTTTTTGGTCAGATTTCTTTTCTTTTATTAATGCATTATGCATAGCTTTCAACTGTGTTTTAGAAATGCTTTATTTGTTTGTTTTACATATTTATTTGATGTTTTCTCAACATAATTTATCTCCATTCTTCCCAGGTCTGTAAAGTGACTGCTAAAGATCTGTTAATCTGAAAAGCGATAGCACACATAGCCAATCTCGGAGTTAACATGGAAGACGGCTAGGTCTATTTTTAGAGTGTTTGCTCATTTGCAATACGTCTATAAGACGTTTCCTGTCAAATAGACAATTAGAAAATGTTAAGATGTTTATAAATGATAAACTGACATCTTAAAGATGTCTATCAGATGTTTGTACACAGCAGAGGGCAGATGAAGTGATCTTGCAGACGTAAGCCTAGTATACGTGCTATCTGCGTAAAAAAAAAAACATCTCAGTCTCAGAAAAAAACTGTTTTACGAAGGCTACATTCTAAATCTTAAACATCTTAAAGACATCTTCTAAATGTTTATGACAGCTAACAAGACACGTCAGAGACGAGCATATGAGCAAACGCTCTTAAAATACATTACAGATGACAGATGTAAATGGAGATATCAAATAGATGTCTCCAAGATGTACTTGTGCTATATATCAGGGTACTGTAATAAACTTGTTTTATATTTGTTGGGGGTTCTCATGGGGCGAAGGCAGTAAGGTGATTGGTTCATAGTCACATGACTCAGTGTAATCAGGAAGCTTAGCAATGTGCACGGAGCTGTGGATGTGTGATGATTGCCGCTGTTCTTGGAAGTGATCAGTAAAACGTATTGAGTATTGCAACCACCGTTTCCAGTGCCTCATTCGAACTACAAGATATCACATTGGCGACGAGGATGGCGCTAATAGGACGAGTGGAAGAGTTCAAGGAGTCGCGGGAGGATTTCGCATCCTACCTGGAGAGATTTGAACTGTGGCTAGAGGCAAACGAAATAAAAGCAGAAAAACAGGTCAGTGTATTTTTAGCGTGCATTGGACCAGAAACTTATGGACTGCTGAAAAACTTGGTAATACCAAAGAAGCCCGCAGAAATGACTTATGAAGAGTTGACTGATACGTTGAAATCACATTATCAGCCGAAGCCTTTGGTCATAGCGGAGAGATTCCATTTTCAGAAACGTGATCAAAAAGAAGGAGAGTCAGTGACGGATTACATAGTGGCAATAAGACAATTGTCGAAGGATTGTGAATATGGAACTCACTTAGATGACGCATTGAGAGATCGCCTTGTGAGTGGACTGTCCGCAGAATCGATTCAAAGAAAATTACTGGCGGAAAGAGAGTTGACGTTTACACGCGCATGTGAAATAGCGTTGATGGAGATGGCGTCGAAGAATTCTCTTGAAATCTTGGGAAAAGTACAGGGTGCAGCTGTAAATCAAGTCTCTAAATCATATCTTGGAAGCAAAGGACGACGGCAGTTTAGACATGGAAATGAGAATCCAAAACTGAAAAATTATCAGGAAGGGGACAGTGAACAGAGATGTTATCGTTGTGGGGGAGGGGGACACTCACCTCAGGAATGCCGATTTAAAAATGAGAAATGTCATGCATGTTCCAAGACAGGGCACATTTCCAGAGCATGTCGGAATAGGAGACAGACTGCCAAGGCCCAGTATGTGGAAACGGAGGATCACAATGTAGACGGTGAAGATGACCCATTAGGGGTCTTTACAGTTTACATGGTATCCAGTGGGGATGGAGGCATTAAAATTAATTTGAAAGTATGTGATGAGGACATTAGTATGCAGTTGGATACTGGTGCAGCAGTGTCCCTTGCATCGGAAGTGTTGCACCAGAATATGTTTCCGCATTTACCCATTGAAAAGTCCAACATCAGATTAAAATCGTACTCAGGAGAAATCATTCCCCTTCTTGGCTGCGTTCAGGCACCAGTGCAGTACGGGGACCAGAAAGCTACACTGCCCCTCATCATAGTGAAAGGAAACAGGCCGGCTCTGTTTGGTCGAAATTGGTTGGAAAAGCTAAAGCTGGACTGGAGGAATATTTTCACAGTTGAAAAAGGAACGAAACATGGCGACCCGGAATTACAAGCAGTGCTGCAGCGCCACTCTGTGGTGTTTTCGGAGAAGGCCGGTGCCATAGAGGAATTCAGAGCAATTATAAGAATGCAGCCGAATGCACAGCCAGTCTTTTGCAAAGCCCGGCCAGTGCCGTATTCATTGAAGGAGGCTGTGGAAAAAGAACTGGATAGGTTAGAAAAAGAGGGAATAGTTTCCAAAGTGGATCATAGTAAATGGGGGGCCCCGATCGTAGTTGTACCGAAGGCTGATAAATCCATCCGCATCTGTGGGGATTACAAGGTCACAATAAATAACCAGCTGGAAGTAGAGACGTACCCTCTGCCCAACACTGAGGATTTATTTGCGACCCTAGCAGGAGGGAAGTGGTTCTCAAAGTTAGACCTTTCGCATGCTTATCAGCAGTTGAGATTGGACAAAGACTCTGAAGAGTATTTAACCATTAATACTCACAGAGGACAGTACCGATACCATCGTCTTAGCTATCAGGTTGCCAGCGCACCGTCAATTTTTCAATCAGTGATGGACCAGGTCCTACAAGGGCAAGAAGGGGTGACTTGTTTCCTGGATGACATCTTGATCACAGCCGACACAAAAGCCCTGCACTTAAAAAGGCTGGAGGCAGTGTTGAGCTCTCTTGCACGTTATGGGGTGAGAGCAAAGTTAGCCAAGTGCAGTTTTCTACAGTCAAGTGTAGAGTATTTGGGGCATCGGATAGATCAAGAAGGCCTGCACCCTACTCAGCACAAAGTGGAGGCTATTGTGAATGCCCCAAAGCCCACAAATGTCTCGGAGTTACGTGCGTATTTGGGGCTTTTGAACTATTATGGCCGTTTTCTGAGAAACTTGTCTAGTGTGCTACAGCCATTGCACACTCTGCTTAAAAAAAGAGGAAAAATGGAGCTGGACGCCTGCATGTGAAGAAGCCTTCAAGAAGGGTAAAGAGATGTTACTGAGTAGCACAGTTCTGGTACATTATGATACAGAGAAGCCGTTGAGATTGGCATGTGACGCATCCCCGTACGGGGTGGGGGCAGTCATTTCGCATTTGATGGACAATGGGGATGAGACCAGTTGCGTTCGCACCTGGGGATGAGCGAAAGTATGCGCAAATAGAAAAAGAGGCGCTGGCAATCATTTATGGGGTAAAAAAAATTCACAAGTATCTTTATGGACGTAAGTTTACTCTCATAAAATAAGGGATTTTTTTTTTACGACCCACAAACTTTAAAAATAAAACACTAATCATTAAAAGTCTAAAGAGTTTATAACTAGCCAACATATGTGCGAGAGAGAAAGAGACAGTATGTGTGTGTTTGTGTGTGTATGAGAGAGAAAGAGACAGTGTGTCATTAAAAAAATAATATCATAGAGAATGTTTAAATAATATCAGCTTACGAGGGAAACGGAGGCGGAGTAGTGGTGCTTGCTGGAGATGATTCGGGAGAGGTCCGTGCACCTATACCGATCAGAGCGCGCGCTGACACGGAGTAAAGCCTTTATACTCGACGTGACAGCACGAGCGCGGCCGGCAAAAATATGACAAGTTGATCATTTCGCCACAGCTTTTTTTGTAACAGCGCGCGCGGCGCCGGCCGCATCCAAGGATGAACGACTTCAAACCGAATATGTCCGAGGCGAGCTTGCTCTGACCGTCGCAACTCTGTCATCATTATGTTAAGCCCGCCCTCCGACTCTATACACGATGTGATTGGCCCTACCAGAGTCGGGGTTTTCCAGCTCAAACGTCTATGGAGAGTTGCTAAACCACACTTTGCTGCAAAATAATTTTTGTTGCCGCTAGGGTGCGTCTAGATTTCTAGGCTAGTTTTCCACATGACCTCCACATCATCAAGCAGAACCATAGAGGTGTTGCGCAATCTATTTGCTGCATATGGTCTTCCGGAAGAGGTTGTGTCAGATAATGGACCCCAATTCGCCTCCGCAGAATTCAAGCAGTTCCTTGACAAAAATGGAGTAAAACAAACTCTGGTACCACCATATCATCCAGCGTCAAATGGAGCGGCTGAGAGGTCGGTGCAAATACTGAAGATGGCGCTGGTGAAGCAAGTTCTTGACGCAAGGGGACATCCCAGCATCTCTCTGCAGCACAGGCTGTCAAACTTTCTGCTCATGTACAGGGCGACGCCGCACGCAGTCACCGGTCGCTCCCCGGCTGAGCTGTTTTTAAAGAGAGAACTTCGCACCCGGTTCAGTCTTTTGAGACCAGATCTGTCACGCACTATAGAGCATCAGCAGGCAAAGCAAAAGCTCTATCATGATAAAGACAGACTGAAATTGAGAGAGTTTCAGGAAAATGACCAAGTCAGAGTGAAAAACTTCAGAGGAGGAGATGAGAAATGGACTGCCGCGACGGTCATAAAGCACTTAGGTCCTGTGACAAACCGAGTCTGGGAAGGAAACAGACAACGATCAGTTCATGTGGACCACATGCTGTGGAGAAGAGGAGAACTCAAGGAACTGGAGTCATGCACACCGTTTGAGGGCCGGGACCTTACATCCGATGCCTCACTAGAACCTGATCTAGTAGAGGCCAGCGAATTGAAACTGCCTGACTCCGACTCCTCAGAGAAGGGCATCTGCCTGGGCCCAACATTGTCGGGCAATGTTACGTCCCCTCTGGGCAGCCATAGCAGCACTGCTGTTGTACCTCCCGTAGTGCAGCCAAGGAGAAATCCAGAGAGACTCAGGAAGGCTCCCAAGAGATTGGACTTATAAGGTGTCGGGAAAAAAAAATGGAACGACTGTTCTTGGTTCAAGAAAGTTAAGTTTGGTTTGTTTGTGTGTTTTTTGTTTCCCCCCAGGTTTAAGCTTAAAGGGGAGGAATGTAATAAACTTGTTTTATATTTGTTGGGGGTTCTCATGGGGCGAAGGCAGTAAGGTGATTGGTTCATAGTCACATGACTCAGTGTAATCAGGAAGCTCAGCAATGTGCACGGAGCTGTGGATGTGTGATGATTGCCGCTGTTCTTGGAAGTGATCAGTAAAACTTATTGAGTATTGCAACCACCGTTTCCAGTGCCTCATTCGAACTACAAGATATCACAGGTACTTTATGACAAGGTCAATTAGTCGTCACTTGGTCAGCATGTCATTATTTTATGGCAGCGTTGTAAGGATGTCGTGGTAGAGTTCCATTTTTTTTAGAATCTTGGCTAACGTTTCAGCATGTCCTCATGGTCCCCTGGTCTTAAGATAATAGCCTATAGGCTGTATCAATGTCACAGTCACCAACTAATGGTCATCGTCTCTGTCACTGTCATCGTCACTGTCACGCGTTAGTCCCCGTCTGCAATACAGTTCCCAGCAGCATCCTGGCCCACACCGCACCTCCTTCACCATTACCCGCACCTCCCAGCAATCATCATTACTCATCACTCTCTTTAGCTGTTGTCTTCATTGTTCACCTTTGTATTTAAGTTCCTCCTTGTCCTCTGGGTCAGTTATTGTTTGTGCCTTGCACGCTGTTTCGTATTGTTGCTTTTGTAAGTTCTTGTTAAATAAACTGATATCTCTTAAGTGGATTCTGAATGTTACAATCAATGTATTTTATGTACAAGTTACATATGTGATATTAATTTGTCATGACTGACATTCTATTTTTACAAACTGCAGAGATATATACTTTATACTGAATGCGTATTATATACTTTATAGAGATACTGAATGCATGTTTCATATTTTTCAGTGTTCATTAAAATGATTTTTTTACGCACTCTTTTAATGGAGTGAGCGAAATACACACACTCAAAAAAAATCTGTTGGATTAAAAAAAAGTAGCCTAGATCGGTTGCACATGTTTATTTTATGGTTTCTTAACATCATTTATCTGTTCTTGTTGCCTAGTTTTTTATATGTTGTTTTTATACTTTTTGTCACGTGATCTTGTGTTAATTTAACATGACTTATGTTTAAATGAAAGCTTCATTCAGTATATAAAGTGGTGTTTCAATAAATACAATTATAATAAAATAATAAAAAAAAAAAGAAAAAAAAAAGATCAAATATATTTTTCCAGTTTGGGAAACCGTAAGCTGACTTTATATAATATTATATATATATATACAAATATATGTCTGAAATGCATATGTAAAAAAAAAAAAAAAACAATCCAATATAAAAGTAAAAATCTAAGAATAAAGGCCAAAGTAAGGGTTTACATGTAGCCTACTTTAGCCTTAATAGATGATCTCCAAAATAGTTAATATCTTGCTTAAGAACAATAAGAACAATGACAGTATAACTAAATTAATATAAAGTAAATTTAAACATGTTTTGAGAGAATTTCTTTGAAATGTGCTGCCTTCCATGACCATTTCACTCAAATGTGTACTTCAGTTCAGGTTGGAAGATGAATTTCACAGAAACTAATGCCAAGGTTATACTGTAAGATTATCTGGCCTTCAATGACAATCCTGATGTCCCCTGGTCGTTCATGGGCGTCCTGGTGTTTGAGAACATCTCTAGAATAGATCCTGGGATGAAGCCTTCATTTGCAGACTGGAGAATCCAAAATGGGATTCAACACTTCTACATCAATATCAAATGTAATTTCAATAATTTAATAATGTCAATATCACAAGAAATATAAAAATGAATACAATGAGAACCAGTTATGGTCAACAAAGACTGTTAGACCTCAGTTCTAGGATTGTGAATGGTATTTAGAGCAAAGATATCCAATAGTGTCTTCTTGTACAATTATGGCGAAATAAGACTTTGTTTTTGATTTTAAAGGCAGAAGTTCATCAATACCTAAAAACAAATTTGAAAAATAAGAAAGCTGTAAAATGTGTTTCTATTTGTAAACATTAATTTTAATGTTTTTGCTTAAAGGTATAGCGGAGGATTTTCTTTTTCCGGGTGGGTAGTCTATACTATTGGTCCACCTAAGTGTCAATCATTCTGGTGATATGTTTACGTAAGGCCGTCGTAGGCTACGTGCTCATCCCTATGTAGTTTTCACTTTCATGTGTATTATGTCGGAGTTACGGTTTCAGCCATTCCTTTGAAAATGGCTGAGGGTCGAACGAGAAAAAATGTTTACTAAGTGTATGATAAGAAGAGAAAGGCCGCAGAATATAGAAACAAGACCAGAGAGAATGAGATTTTGGGTGAATATCACACACTGGCGTGCGCTAAAAGCACAGGTTGGGCTTCTCACGGATGCCGCAGTCGCGAAGATTCTACCAGACAGGTAAAGTTTGTCACGCTATTTGGAGAAATCCATTTAAAATCACTAGTAAAAGTTAATGCAAGCTACAATGCTAGCCCTGGCACGAGTCATGCACCGCATAGACACGGTAAACATCTCAATTTGTCTAAAGTAGCCTTTTGTCCAAAATGGTAAATGGTATCACGCTGAAATATTCTAAAATCTTGTGTGTTTATTATTACACAAATGCAACAAGCTACTTCTCCATATGCAACTATGTATAAAAATAACGTATTAACAATGAGAGATATTAGGTTAAGGACCAACGTAATAGCACTGCTTATATGTTGCTATGTAACGTAATTGCGATTTGCAAAATAGTTTCCTCAGAACGTATTTCGTGTGATACAGGGTTGCACATATCATGTCTTGAGTCCTCGGTCACTCAATCGATCAGTATAATAAGTAAATAAAACACGGAAGGGCATTTGACATGTTGTCTTTTTTATGAATGTTTTTTAGTTAGTTTAGAATTTGCAACATAATTGTGCAAGGTGTATAGACGTTCCCTAGCTCTCGGGAGCAAGAGTGTTGTGTTTGTGCATGTGCATTTTTTTAAAAAAAATTGGAGAGGGCGGGTCTTCTCTAAAATTCGGAAAGATCCTCCGCTATACCTTTAACTCGACTTTGATTTTGTCACTGTTTAATTAATTTATTAGTTTTATTTCCTGTTTATTCAAACAGGCTGTATTTGTAATTCTTTAAAACCAATAAAAAAAACCTAAAATATATGAGAAAATGAATAAACAGAATGAACAGAACATTCATTTCGTTCATTTTCGGAACGCAAACGAAGATCTTTTTGATCAAATCTGAGTGATCAAAAAGATCTTCGTTTGCGTTCTGAAAATGAACGAAAGTCTTACGGGTTTGAAACAACACGATGGTGAGTGTAACGGTCACCGTATAGATCTGCACTACATTTCCCAGAAACCTCTTCACCACACACCTGCAGTCACTCTCCTGTCTCCAAATCACCTGCACCTGTTCCAAATCAGCAGCCAGCTCCATATAAACTCCCAGTTTTCCCTCAGTCATGGTCAAGCCTCCAACGGGAACAGACCCTAAACAGTCTCCAAGGAACACGCTGATTCAGCCGGCACCAGGAATGTAACGTATACTTACCTGAAAATACTAACCTCTCTTTCCATGTTCTGATGTTCCTAGAATCTGCTCCTTGATCCTTGTTTCCTGAGTCCGGTAATCTCCCTGAGTCTCGTTTGCTGATGGATGATCTGAAAGAGAAAGACATGTATCACTGGACTGTGTTAGTTTGATGTTGATTACACTGAAGAGGATCTGCCCACCTGGAATCCTTCCTGCAACGTATCCTCCTCGAATTCACCACTGAAACTTTGAACACTCACCTTTGAACTTGAAATAAAGATTTATGTTTATTTACTTACCTCTGTCTCCGGGCCTGTATCCTGACGGTAAGTAATGAAATAATTTTTATTTTTGAGTGAACTATCCCGTAAAATAACAAAAGCCGGAGGTCATCATCTTCCAAAACCATCCTTCAAAATGTCATTTTCAGAGAAGAAAACAATATAACAAACATTATTGGATTTGATTATCTATGTGAAGTTTTATGGTATTAATTTTATTTGTGCAAATGTAAAACATTACATCCAGTTATATAACAATACAGAGTATTTGCATTACAATATCAACATTTCAAAAATGGTTGTAAAGAAAATCTAAATAACCTTAAATTGGACACACCATGTCCTCCAATGGCTAAGTTAAGCTCTTTGTTTCCATCCTGGCAATTCACCTTTGGCTAAGCCACGCCCTAGAATGTAGATTGACCAATCACAGCGCAGCCAAGAACGAGCTCCCACAGAGGTCGGACAATTTTTCACAGCGCTCCATTGACTTTCAACACAGGCGTCTCATAGTTTTGGTCTCGGCAGGCTATTACCGTCGAAGTTTTATCCAAAATATGGTTAAACGTTGTGCCTCGGGCATTTGTAACACAGATACGTGTTTCCCAGAGAGGTTGGAGGAGGGTGTCTGTTTTTTCCCTTCCCAAAACCGAAGTCAAATCCTGACAAGTATCATCTATGGAAACTGTGTGGATGTCCTCAGTCAGCTAAACCCTGCAAAGATCAACAAGCGCATCTTTTTTTTACTTCTAACCTTACTGCGAGTGTGAAGTTATACTAGTTAGACCGTTTTATAATGTTTTAGGTTATGATTTCGGTTCTCATACCGGTTGTTGGTACGTTAGCACGGTGTTCCCAGTGTCCCATCCCTGTTCCTGGCGGCACACCAACACATCATCATAATCAGATGAGCTGATGGGTTGAATCAGGTGTGTTTGATAAGGGAGACAAAGAATACGCGCAGTGTTGGTGTGCCGCCAGGAATAGGGTTGGGAAACACGTTGCTAATAAATACAACGTTATACTTATGTAGCTAGTCCGTTTTCTTTGTAATAATGATTATAGAAGTGAATAGAGACCTACCCAGCTTTGCATGAACAGTGTTGCTCCCTGATATTGTTAGTCCCAGACTCCCAGCCTCCGTTTCGATTAGTAGGAAATGCGGTGGTTCATTTTTTGACTGTGACCGGTAACGCTATGCTTTTGCCTCTATTTTGGATGCCTTGTTGTTTCTTGCGTTTCACCTGTATGTCTTGAATATAGCCTTCGAACGCATATTGCAGCCCCTTTTGCCTACTTCTATCAGACACTTTATTTATTGCTTTATAAAAGTTTGATAACATTTCAGCAGGAAGAGCTGTTACAGCATAAGTGCAGATGAAGTTTGACGGATGTAGCAACAGTAACTAAGGGGGGCGGGGCTTAGCCAAAGGTGAATTGTCTTGACCTTAACTGTAAATTAATCCAGCTATAAATTCTAACGTTTAATTACCTGAGCCTGAAAGCATATTGCTCTAAATCTGATATAGGTCTAAACTTTATAGAAATACTGACATTTTATTTGCTCTGAAAATTATATATATATATATACACATATTTGTAATTATAAGAGATTAGTTGAATAGCATGTGAATGTGATATTATATGTAATGTTGCATAAATTATTAATGGATGCTATAGCGGAAAGGAATGTTTGTGTCTTTCATTTGGATTGCGTAGTCTTCGTCAAACATCTTCGATTGAGCTGGAGTGAAATGGTTAACCCAGTCACCGACCTCTCCTGTGAAAACAAACATACTTATTTATTAATTTTGACCACAATATGCTTTATATCATTTCTTATTACATGAGCCTCTGAATAATTGATTATGATTGCTCAACTGCCATGAGGGGTTTGTATAATGACAGCTAAACGATATTTCACTGTTGTGCTGCAATGTATTATATGGCTCTGGTGTGTTTTCAAATTAAGTTGTTACCTTGATGTTTATTCTCTAAAGCAAAAGCAAAAGCGAAGCTGTCTTTTACAGTGATTCATAAAATAAACACCAGCAACAAAAATCTAACATTATAACACATTTATTCCTCTGCCAAGCACTTTAGTTCGAAAGAGGTTGCCAAGCAACACATGCAGGCAGCAACGAAGAATCACAAACAGAATTTGCGCAGTAATCCATGTAATGTGGTCACAGGTGTATGTCTATTGAGTAATTTACAATGGCTTCGAACGCGGCTTAACCAATCAGAACCAAGGACCGGAATTATCAGTTTTTGCCCCCGTCAGTCAAGACCGTAACCTTAGACTGACAGAAACGTTTAAAAAAAAAAAAAAAAAAAAAAAAAATTAAAACTGTTTTAGGCTACTTTAGTTTTGTACACTTTGTCATGTTAATTACATTTATCATAATTAATTATATCATACTTATAATTATATAAAATGCATTTTGTTTTATTTGCTATGATTGGTCAGTTCAATCCCAGATAGCAAACTGACATTGAATCAACGTGGAAATATGACATCGAAACAACGTTGATCTGACATTGTTTTGCTCATCGAATTAACGTTGAACCAACGTCAGACGCGTCATCCTTTCAAAACTAACGGAAAATCAACTTGAAATCAACGCGTTGTTTCAACGTTATGAAAGCAAACCAATTTTCGATTTTCATTTAGCTTTGAAGAATGCCGCGTCTGACGTTGGTTCAACGTTAATTCGATGAGCAAATCAACGTTGTTTCAATGTCATGAGAGACGTCGTTTCCACGTTGATTCAATGTCAGTTTGCTGTCTGGGATGTGGCCGTTTTCTGATTGGCTTGAGGAAACGGGGTGGAGTCCACCTATTGGATTTGTCTGCACATTGACCAGAAGTGTTTCAAAATCCACAGATGCATGAGGGGATTTACAAATGCAAAAGAAGAATCATAAATGCGCGCAGTGATGTGCAAATGCACAGAAAGTTTTATCCATTTTTGTGAAACTACTCTTTACATTTGTTTGTGAATCTCAATCTACTGTATTTATTTGTGAATTTGACACATTTTTGTGAATCTCTTTACATTTGTTTTTGAATCTCAATCTATTTATTTGGAATAATGCAACAATTCTAACTCCGTAGTTTGATGCAGATTTTGCTCATCTCAAACTTCGTTCTATGGTATGTGGCATTGTGGGTGGAGCTTGTCAGCTGTTGTGAATTTCCTTTGTTTCCCTAATACTGATTAAATGAGCGTAAAGGAGTAGTTCACTTTACAAGTACACTTTAAACTTTACAAAGAGTTCATTTGGCCGGAAGCTAGAATTTTACTTTGTAACATGTTAAATATAAATAATTTTCTTACACAAACATAATCAGACATAATCACAGGCATAATCAGAGGCATAATCAGAACGAGAAAGCCGCGATGAAGAGAGTCAAGCAGAACCTCACCACACACGGCTCTTACTAAACGTTTCTGAATGATAATTTGCTACATTTTTTAACTTTATACACGTTTGTTTTACACAATAGCATCTGACTGGCTACTAATGTTATACTCAAACAGCGTTGGCAAGTTTACGTTCTTGATCAAATCGAAAATAACGTCATAAAACATATACATGAAAAATACATTTACAACTTAGTACTTATACAAAATTCAGGTCCATAATGTTTGTACGCGTTTGTCGTAGACACAAAATAGCATAACTAGTAGCTATAAAGCCAGCGCTGGCATTTGAAAAAAATAAAACACAAGGCTGCGTGTGAAATAATACACGCAAATACATTTAAAATGATGAAGTCTTAGCCTACTAACAGGTTGTGGCCCAGCAACTGCTGCCTCTTGTTTTAAAGTCGGAACTGCTTCATTTTTTAGTAACAGTTTCTTGTTGAATCCGGCATTGAACTTGTGGAGATTCTGGAAGCTGTCTTCCGTAAAATGCGCAGCACAGAGAGCTTAATTACGATCGTCATTTTCAGGAACATAATAAAACATAAATTGTATCCATTGTTGACGAAGTATAACGTCCGTGGGAAGCTCGAACACAGAAGACCTGACAGCTGCGTGAACAACACACTCGACGAGCCGCAGAAATATGGCCATGCCCTTTTCTGCATATTCCGGAGGAAGAGTTGATGCAAATGTGTGGGTTAGTGACGTCTAAAACCCAGCTTTAGTCCCAATCGAGTCGTTTTTGTAGGCAATATACTTCCTGATTTTTAAAAGACGATATCTCTGCTTACACTGAACTTTCAGCGCTGCAACTTTGCAGATACTATTCATGCAGCAACATTACACACTATTTAAAATGAAAAAAGTGAAATCGCAGTCAACCGCCCCTTTAAGGGGGGTACACCAGTCCTATTTTTGGGGAAATATTAGGTCCTGCTCCTCATTCTATTACTAAAAACATTTAAAAGTATAAATAACTAAGAATAAATATCATCTAATAAGTGTCATATCATCTCTACTGATGAGATCTTGTGAGGTGAAACAGTGATTTCAGTATGACGGAGTTGAGTTGAAGCAAAACCTTTTACAGTGCTAAGTGCATTGTCACACTCCTAATAAGGAATTTCTAGTATGGTTTTATATTAACCTTTTCTCATGAAGGCAGAAATAGACTGATCAAACACAGGTTTCGGAATGAAGGAGTAGTTAGCCATTGGATTGTCTTTCATGACTTGGAAGGATGTCAACTGCGCAATCCTTTCTATGATATCCTCAGAAACAGACAGGTCCAGATAGTGCATGATTCTTTTAATCTCCCTAACAGGATTCTTGGTGAGAGGAAAAGAGAAAAACATAGATACAAGAAAGTTAGTCTTAAAAAAAGGATATAAAATAAAAGATAAATCAGATTTTAGCAAAATGACAGGACTTGAAAGGATATACTGGATTAAAACTATACCTCCTTCATGTCCTCATAGAGCAGGTAGAGAATATTCTTTTCCTTGCATTCCTTCCAGTAAGCTTTGACATGGTCATACCAAGAGCCCCAACCTACTGTAAAAACATTCGAGTACAGAGTAAAGATTCCAGGTTTAAATTACATTCTGCATTTAAATATGTAGTTTTCTCTCACATTCCCCCTTCATGAACTTGTGAATGTATCCATCCCAAGGTCCTGGCTCTGGCTGGGTAAGATTCATACGTTCAAAGTGGAAGTAGCTTACAAGATTATCCTTAGCATTTCGGGCTGTATAGATGACCTGGGGAAAAGCAGGCAGAGCAGCTAGTGGACATGATTTCTGGTACTCTGTGGTCAGAGGCAAATCAAGGGGTTTAAACATTATATTGCCGAGTACCTATTACCAGAACACTCTAGAGACAGGTCATTTTGTTATCTTTTGCTTTGGATAGGAAGAATGAAAATAAACCCAAATTTGACCTTGTGTTTGAAATTTGTTTCAATTAAATTATTACCTTGCATTTATTTTCCCAGAATCCTTTAGGCACTAGTTGAATGGGTAAGTGAGTCTTGATTACTCTCGGTGGTTTCATCTGTCTAAGTAAGTCAAGCCCTGAATGAAGCATAAAAGATAAAAATGTTCAAGACATGAGTGGTGTAGACGCAGGCGCACTGACACATTCTTCATATCACAAAAACCTTGTGATAAGTAGAGATGAAGAATGCACAGAAATGTGTACCTGATGGTATAGGTGGAGGAGAGAAAATTTCCAGAAATGGTATACGGACAACTGTCGGCGCTCTCTTGCACACCTCAGCATCTCCATTGTGCAGCAGAAGATCCACTATCTCTTGAGTCCAGGTTGTGCCTTAACACAGAGACAAGCATTAGACAACTTGTTCTCAACCAGGGAGCAGGAGCCCACAAGGGGGCCTCAGCAAATTTCTGTGTAATATTACAAGATGACTGTAATATTATGCAGACTCAGAGAGCACAACTGGAGAACAGTTTTACATGAGTTTATGCGGCAGAGAGTGAGTCAAAGCAGGCAGGAATCTGAATTAAACAGAGCAATGAGTGATGATGATATGGAGACTGAAAGTAACAGTCTTTTCTTGAATATAGCTAAGAGGGGAATGAACGAAGGGAATGGATGGACACACCTCAGTTGCAGCTGGCAGGAGAGGATCCAGGAAACAGGGGAAGTGCACAGAGTAGTGATGTTACATTTGACTCTGACTGAAGCTTCAAAGTGCGTATCAAGTACGCTGTGCAATTTCTCATGAAGCTCCGTGCCAGAGCACATACTATTTTCAGAGAAACACGTGATCAACGAAAAACGAAGCCTCCCCAGATAGCACAAATACCGTACGTCTGCAAGATGTCTGTTAAAGATCACTTCATCTGGAAAGCATCTGATGTTCACTAACATCTGATAGACATCTTTAAGATGTCAGTTTAACATACACTCTAAATCATTACATCTTAAAGACATCATCTATTTGACATCCTATATACATATTGCAGATGAGCAAACACTCTAAAAAATACGCCTTCCAGATGTAAACACACACATTAAATAGATGTCTCTGTGATGTACG